GAATGCTGTCGAAAGTGGCAAAACCTTGAGAAAACAAAGGGATTTAATTGAGATCATCTAAAATCATCTTAACTCCTGAAACGTATCCAAAAACGGACATTCCTTGTACAAGCTCCTAACTCAATTTTACAATTGAATTCAGGGCTATTTAGTTCAACCGTATTGGACACGTTTGTTCTACGCCAAGACGAAAAGACTGCTCGTGACGGACTCTTCAAGTTTAAACACATCTGTTGTGTGTGTGTGTGTGTGTGTGTTGTGTGTGTGTGTGTGTGTGTGTGAAGTCATCTTGCACCTACCTGCTTTGCAAATTGAAACCTTCAAATGCGAGTACTGATGAGCTGGACACCACTTCAGCTTGTAGCCTGGCACTGCGTCTTGCAGCTGTTGTCCAGGGCCAAGATGATGTCTTGCCATTGCTGTAGTGCAGTCCGGTATTTTCCAGAACGTCTGGGCTCAACTTGTGGAATGGTTTTAGTTGTAGCTGAATCAGGTGCACTAGAGCTGGAAGAACCTTTTGACCTCTTTATTTATCTCTCTCTTTCACTCTGGCTCTACTCCCCCAGCACTCTGTGTCTCTCTGTCCAGTTCAGTGTCCACTTCCTTTCCCCTAGGAGCTAATGCTAGCTGGTAATTAATGGAGTGGCAGTGCTAGCGCTTCCTGCTAATTAACCACACAGCAATGCTAGGGTTAGTTGCTAATTAAAAGAGCAGCATTGCTAGCACTTCAAACTAACCCTCTTAACAATGCTTTGCCTAGCCTCTTTGTGCAGCATCGTGGCCAAGACTGGCATGAAGCCTTAATAATTAACAAAGGAGGGCTTTTATAACATCACAGGGAACACACACACCACACACACACACACACACACCTTTGGTTATGATTGCTTCATGCAAAGCCTTGCTAAGGGGGTTCTTCTAATTAGCAGAAGAGCATGCACATGCACACTCATCTGATTCATCCCCTCATGATGGTGCACTCGTTATGCATCAGTATTATGTAAGCATGATCATGAGGACCCTAGCACTCACAAAGTAGTTCAGTGCAGTCAGAAGTACAAACACACACATGGATGGTAATGTACACTCGGCTCCACGACCACTCCAATGATAAAAAGTTAATTATTCATTGTGCTGCCGTACCACTTCAGTGAGGCCTCTCGTTTTCATTAAGCAAGCAGTGGTGCATCAGAAAAGCCCACATACTGGTTTCCTGTGCTCAGAAAACAGAGGAAAGAAGGCAAGTCGACAGTCAAAGACCACCGTTTTGCCTTTTTAGCTACTGCATAACTAGCACCACGTACAAGGACCTTTTTCCACCATCGATCCATCCTATACCAAAACTTACAGTTGAATAGTTAACAATGGCAATTTGAGCACCAATTAGGGGGGTGGCGCAATCCCACCACTCATGAAGAAATTCTGATCAATCCCACCACTCATGAAGAAATTCTGATCAATCCCACCACTCATGAAGAAATTCTGATCAATCCCACCACTCATGAAGAAATTCTGATCAATCCCACCACTCATGAAGAAATTCTGATCAATCCCACCACTCATGAAGAAATTCTGATCAATCCCACCACTCATGAAGAAATTCTGATCAATCCCACCACTCATGAAGAAATTTTTATCAATCCCACCACTCATGAAGAATTCTGATCAATCCCCACTCATGAAGATTTTATCAATCCCACCACTCATGAAGAATTTTATCATCCCACCACTCATGAAGAATTTTACAATCCCACCACTCATGAAGAATTTTATCAATCCACCACTCCTGAAGAAATTTTATCAATCCCACCACTCATGAAGAATTTTATCAATCCACCACTCATGGAAATTTTATCAATCCCACCACTCCATGAAGAAATTTTATCAATCCCACCACTCATGAAGAAATTTTTATCAATCCCACCACTCATGAAGAAATTTTTATCAATCCCACTCATGAAGAATTTTATCAATCCACCACTCATGAAGAAATTTTTATCAATCCCACCACTCATGAAGAAATTTTACAATCCACCACTCATGAAGAAATTTTATCAATCCACCACTCATGAAAATTTTATCAATCCACCACTCATGAAGAAATTTTTATCAATCCCACCACTCATGAAGAAATTTTTATCAATCCCACCACTCATGAAGAAATTTTTATCAATCCCACCACTCATGAAGAAATTTTTATCAATCCCACCACTCATGAAGAAATTTTTATCAATCCCACCACTCATGAAGAAATTTTTATCAATCCCACCACTCATGAAGAAATTTTTATCAATCCCACCACTCATGAAGAAATTTTTATCAATCCCACCACTCATGAAGAAATTTTTATCAATCCCACCACTCATGAAGAAATTTTTATCAATCCCACCACTCATGAAGAAATTTTGATTAATCCCACCACTCCTGAAGAAAATTTGAAGAAATCTCTCAAATAGGTCCTCACCAATCCCATATGCAATAATTTCTCATGAACTTAGTTGGTTCTGTTTCTCCTTAAATAAAGATATGTCATTTAAACCACAGTAATCCTCACCAGGATATAGCATTACAGAAGTTAAATGAACATGATAAACACATTGCGCTGGACATATGTCCAGTCTGCTCCCATGTTAATCAGCAGGACATTTCTTTGTCCTATGAGCTTCATACCTGACCACCAGCATAAGTGTAAATAACCCCAGATTTTTTGTTGAATCTCATGGGATCCCAGTCCTGATGAACAGGTCTGCACCATTGGAAGTACAAATCAAAATATTATAAGCCAAAATATCTTCTTTTTTTGTAGGTAGTAGATCATGTTGGGTGTTACCAAGCACTGATGAGGAGATGTCATATATGAGTTTTGACAAGAACCCTCCTGGGTGCGTCCTCAGATTTGGGATGTGACAAAAAAGCATTTCATGTTGAAATTTTTAACAATGGACATTGTCACAAAGCAGCTCTATAGAAATCCAGATGAAGATTTAAGTCCTTCATGATCAAACCAGAGACAGAGTCTTCAGGGTGACGCTGGATAGTGGGATTATAAATCGTTATTGTACACAGTTGTAGAAGGAGTAAAGACAAACAGGACTAATTGGGCTGGAAGGATGTGAGCAGATTGTGAAAAAGTGTCCCAGGGTGAGCAGAGGACAGTCTTTATGATTCCAGCAGCAGTTTTTAGGTACAAGTCTACAGTATCCAGTTAGTGGAAAACCAATTAGAACTAGAACTTGTTCTCTTGGCTTGAGTATGGGCCAGTTCCTGCTTTAGAAACGAGGTGAAAACACCAGACGACTGAGAGAACGTGAAGGAGGATTTGACTACTTTCAAAGAGGGGGTTGGAAAGAAAATGAGAGGAAAAGGCAGCTGGAGTGAGAGATGTATAAAGACAGAAGGATGCGACTGCCTAGAGAGTGAGGACATCTGCACAAACCCTGTAATCTCTCTGCTGTTGTTGTTTTGGCTAATCAGAACTCCTGGGCAGAAGCAGTGCAATTAGCTGTAATGAGAGTCAGAATGTGTGTGCGAGAGAGAGAAGGAGGGTATTTGGGCCATTTTGTACCAATATCCTGCCAATCCACGTGCAATAGTGAAATCACCTGGTGCTCTCACACTCCGTCTGCATGGCTGATTTATTAGCCTGCTTAAACATATAAACAAGCACACAAAAATAAAAGTGCTGTAGAGCCCAGGATTAATTTAGCACCTAGAGGAAACGAGGCATTTACACCTGTGATGTTAGCACTGTAGTGGCGTGATTTCCCTGCGACGCCTCTGTTATTCTGCTCAGAGTGGGAGTTTGGTGTGAATCTTTTTTTTTTTTTTTTTTTTTTCCCACCTTGAGTTTTGTAATAGAGTCTAAATAGAAAGCCTTTTAGAGAAAGGTCTCATTGTTGAATATTAGCGTTGGTGGTGTTTTCACACTTAATCTTCAAGTCCTTTGTTATACAGTGATGCGTTTGATGTTGTGATGAAGTAAACTTGTTTTATTTCTGACTCAGCGTTCGGTCGAATGAATAAGTGGGGGAGGGAGGGAGGGAGGGAGAGAAGGAGTGACTGATGGAACGTGGGAGTGAGTGAGCGGACCAGGGCATTCGCTAACAATGACAGGAGAGAATGTGTGATTTTGGGCGTGCATGGTAGATAAAGGGAGGGATAAAAGAGCGGGCACGTTTTCTGGATTTGTGGCCGAGTTTGACGCTTTTTTTTTTTTTTTTCTCATTTGGAAATGGCCATCTGGTATTTGCTTCAGTTTACATGAATGTCAAGTAATGCAGTTGATGGAGACGGCCTTATGACTTTCTGTTTGAAATTTCACAATGATGGGGAAAGACATGGTGTGGTCTTCAGAGGAGACAGAAGGTCTTCACAGTAAGAATAGTGAAGTTAAATGGTAAATGTGCACTTAAATAGCACTTTTATCCAAAGCGCTTCACACTGTGTCTCATTCACACACACACTCACACACCAGTGGTAGCAGAGCTGCCATGCAAGGCGCGAGCTTGCCATCGGGAGCAACTTGGGGTTCAGTGTCTTGCCCAAGGACACTTCGGCATGTGGAGTCACCCGGGCCGGGAATCGAACCGCCGACCCTACGATTAGTGGACAACCCACTCTACCAACTAGGCAATCAAACACTAGTTAACAAAAATGCTGAATTCTTTTAGTGTATAAAACACTTTTAACTTTATCCAAGGCTCCATTGAAATATTTATCAGTGTCAAGCAAAGCAAAAAACATGCTACTTTAATCACAGTTATATGTATTAATTCAATACATGAATAGTGTGAATATGCGGTACAACGGGGAAACTGTGGGTTCATCATGGTGGCAGATGTATCTTCCAGTTTGAGCTCTATCCCAAAATACATACATAACATATTTAGTGGAAATGCAGTGGCATTTGGCAGACACCCTTCTCCAGAGCAACTTACAATTATCGCATTTATACAACAGAGCGGTTAATAGACTTGCTCAAGGGCCCAGCAATGGCAGCTTGGCAATGCTGGGATTTGAACTCTCGACCTTCCGATCTGACGTCCAACGTCTTAACCACTGAGCCACCACTTCCCCTACACTATTTAGGCATTCTCCTTAGTGCATCAAATCTAGCTTTGGCTGCAACCATGAATTCTTCTTGGATGTCTCTTACTTGCCTCTCACAGTCTTCAAGTTGGTCTGCGCTGTGTGGAACGAGTCGAGGCACTTTACAAAATGTTCCTCCAGAAAGAACTTGCCAAAATCTTACAGCTACCCAACCGGGAAGAGTGAAGGCTAACACATGTTCGCACCAAGATATGTGAAGGAGACGGTACATCTTTTGGATCTGCTGCATTTGTAACAGGCAGTTGAACACCCTCAGAGGAAACCGCTCTCTGCCCTCTTCTACATACATGGGCTCACAGACGTCCATGATTGGCTAGAGCAGGCGTGTCCAATCTTATCCGGAAAGGGGCCGGTGTGGGTGCAGGTTTTCATTCCAGCCAAGCAGAAGCCACACCTGAGTCTATTGAAAGCCAAGATCGACTGATTAAACGGGTGGAATCGGGTGTGGAGCCTGCTTGAATGGAATGAAACCGTGAACGCACACTGGCCCTTTGCAGATAGGATTGGACACCCCTGCTCTAGTGTTGCTGTGCCTGACAGTGAAGTGAGACACCGCCATCCCTCCCACTCCGGCAGCACGGATTTGGACTCCTGGCCGCAGATTAGAACCCAATCTCTTTATGACGGGGTGAGCGTTTTTCGGTTGCACCACTCGGGAGCCCGCCGTATGCAGGTGACATTTTGCTGTTTGTGTGTTACCTGGGTCTCGTTTTCCGTTGTTTCTGGGACAGGATGATTTGGGTGCTCCAGTTGAAACCGAGATAGGAGACAGTGATTTATTCTCTCTCTCTCTCTCTCTCTCTCTCTCTCTCTGTTTATAGAAATGGGCTAAACTTTATGACTCAGACAACCACTTCAGAGCTGGGCTTTTTTTAACCGCTGACTAAAATTTGTTACAGAGAAAGGAAATATTTGTTGTCAGTGCATTGCTAGTGACTCACTGTGTAATCTGAAAATGATCTGTGCTCATGTTAATCTACACCGATTATACCGATATAGAGTCGTGCTTCAGCTGGTAAAATATATCCGTTTCACACTTTAATCTCGCATCCAGGTTACTCCATTTCCCAGCCTCTTCCATCGGGGGTGAAACGCCGGACAATCAAAAACAAGATTGTCCTGGCTTCTTACTAAAAAAATTGATTTTACCTTTGAAGAAAGGGACTGGGAAATAAAGCAAGCTTCACCATACCGTGGTTTTTCCTCTTGATCTGAAACCTCGCTTAGTAACACACCGCACAAATCCTTCTAGCACTCACGTTATACTGCCACTGCTGCATTACTGTACTAGTCTTCATACTGCTACAGTTTTCCAAGGGTAGACCAGACTAGTGTTTATGTCTCTGTGATTTTATTATGACTTTAAAAAAAGAAAGATGTCAATCACGTAGCAGCAGGTTATATTAATCCCACTGAAATCGATACGTACGTAAATATCTGCTCGTATTTTTTCCCACAGTATCGAGACTCTCAAGGAACCATCTACTTTTACATGCACTTGAGGAAGCATTTACCCAGACTAATTGGTTATGCACCATTTCCTTCATGAGGCACATCGTTTCAGTCCAGGTTCAGTTAGTTTTTTCCCCCTCAGGTCGGGCGCCATGTTTTGTTCTTGTGAGACGGATGTCCTGTGGTAAAACTGCTCCTCACTTACGACCCTCAATATGCTAATGGATTCTGCATGACATACAGGATGATGGCAAGATAGCGATGGCACGAAAATCCGTTATGCGGGTAAAATCTGGTATCATGTCTACCATGAAAAATATTTTCAAAAAACTTCGGTAGTCGTTTCGTAGCCAAGGTCAACCCAGGTCGACTTTATTTGAATAGTGAACGTTAGGATTTTAAAATGTCGCCACTGGGCTGTGCAACAGAATAGCGTCAAGTCATCCAAGGCCGGGAGTACGAAAGAGCAGAGTTGACCATGTTTGGTTGGTGGGTTATACTCTCGTTCTTCTGTCTAGACTATTGTGGACATCAGCTCATATCTATGTTCTTCTGAGACTCCAGCTGCCTTGAGATGGAGCGTGAGCAGCAATATCGCTGAGGAAGCACATGCTAACCCTCTTTCTCTGAGGAACATGTGATGGGGTGAGAGAGTTAGTAGGTGGGGAAAAAAAAACTGTCAGAAACTAACATTATAAAAAGAAAAGATGTTTGTAGATGATGCAACTCACTCGAATGAACTATATAATGACCGAAATAATCAAGTGAAAATACCAATCTACCCAATAGCATGGAAAAAAGGAAGAATTATTAGTAACCGAATAGCACAACCAAATGTATTTTTGTTCATTTGTTTATTACTGCCATTTATTTGTTTGTTTGTTTGTTTATTCATTCTTTCGTTCTTCATTATTGCCATGACGGTTTTAACAATGTGGCCAAAGTAAATGAATATGAAGGTGATTAAACAAATAATAACAACAAATAAAGGAATAGAAAAACAATAATGAATGAAACGAACACTAAACATGTTTAGACATGATGTAAATGAATCGATGTATTAGAGAAAGATGCAATATTGCACTCCACTAATATTGGCACCCTTGGTAAATCTGAGCAAAGAAGGTTGTGGAAAAATTGTCTCATGTTTAACCTTTAAAAAAATAAAAAATCACAAATACACTCGGCTTTCATGGATATCAAACCATTCCAAACACAATACAAGTTTGTCAAAAAAATATCTTTCAGATTCTTCATATTTCGAGGTCCACGCTGGTGGAATCTCATCCTCAGTTCTCCCCACAGGTTTTTTGTCATCTGAAGTTCCAGTCGTGTCTGAAACTGAAGACGCTCGAGTTTGTTTGTGGATGAGAGTCGAGGCTTTTTTCTTGAAACCCTTCCAAACAACTCGTGGTGATGGAGGTGACTTCAGATTGTAGTTTTGGAGACGTTCTGACCCCAAGACACGACTAACTTCTGCAGTTCTCCAGCTGTGATCCGTGGAGATGTTTGTATCCACTCGAACCGTCCTCTTCACACTGTGTTGAGACGATAGAGACACACGTCCAATTCCAGGTCGATTCAGAACATCTCCAGTTGACTGGAACGTCTTAATTATTGCCCTGATGGTGAAATGGACATTTTCAATACTTCTGCTATTTTCTTATAGACACGCCCCATTGTGTGAAGATCAACAACCTTTTGCTGCACATCACAGCTACATTCCTCGCTCTTACCCACTGTTATGAATGAATAAGGGAATTTGGCCTGTGTGTTACCTCATATTTATACCCCTGTGAAACAGGAAGTCATGCTTAAACGATTTCCTGTTCCTAGTCACCCGGGTGTACTAAAAACAAGTAAAATATCAATGGGAACATACTTCAAATATATTTTTCTCATTTGAATTCATAGGGTGCATAGAATTCATAATTTCTTTTCTTTGGATGAACCTGTGTTGTTTGCAAGTGTTTGAGAGCAGAGTATTGTGAATTTTTTGACCAAACGGTGAAACAATAAAGACAATCTTTCACAGGCTTCTTTGCTCAGATTTACCAAGGGTGCCAATATTAATGGAGGGCGCTGTACACTGTGTGTGTATATATGCAGTGTTAAAATATATAATATGTAATATAATAGAATGTATTAGGATTAGATTAGAGTAGATTTGTGTTTCTTACATGATGAAGAGTGAAAATAGCTAGCTCCTGTCTCTCTCTCTCTCTCTCCCACTCTCTCTCCCACCCTCCCTCCCTCTGTCTCTCTCTCTCCCTCTCTCTCCCTCCCACTCTCCCTCTCTCCCTCCTCTCTCTCTCTCTCTCTCTCTCCCTCCCTCTCTCCCACTCTCTCTCCCTCCCTCTGTCTCTCTCTCTCCTCTCTCCCTCTCTCTCCCTCTCTCCCTCCCTCCCTCTCTCTCTCTCTCTCTCTCTCTCTCTCTCTCTCTCTCTCTCTCCTCCTCTCCTCTCTCTCCTCCTCTCTCCTCCTCCTCTCTCTCTCCCTCCTCCCTCCCTCTCTCTCTCTCTCTCTCTCTCCTCTCTCTCTCCCTCCCACTCTCCCTCTCCTCTCTCTCTCTCTCTCTCTCTCTCCTCCTCCTCTCCTCTCTCTCCTCCCTCTGTCTCTCTCTCTCCCTCTCTCCTCCTCTCCTCTCTCCTCCCTCCTCTCTCTCTCTCTCTCTCTCTCTCTCCTCCCTCTCCTCTCTCTCCCTCCTCTCTCCTCCCTCTCTCTCTCCTCCCTCCTCCTCTCTCTCTCTCTCTCTCTCTCTCTCTCTCCCTCCCTCTCTCACTCTCTCTCCCTCCCTCTCTCTCTCTCTCTCCTCTCTCTCCTCCCACTCTCCCTCCTCCCTCCCTCCTCTTCTCTCTCCTCTCTCCTCCTCTCCCTCTCTCCCTCCCTCCTCTCTCTCTCTCTCTCTCTCTCTCTCTCTCTCTCTCTCCCTCCTCTCCTCTCTCTCCCTCCTCCTCCCTCTCTCTCTCTCCTCCCTCTCCTCTCCCTCCTCCCTCTCTCTCTCTCTCTCTCTCTCCTCTCTCTCCCTCCTCTCCCTCTCTCTCCTCCTCCTCCCTCTGTCTCTCTCTCTCTCTCCTCTCTCTCCCTCTCTCTCTCTCTCCTCTCTCTCTCTCTCTCTCTCCTCTCCCACTCCCTCTCTCTCCCTCCTCCCTCCTCTCTCTCTCTCTCTCTCTCCTCCCTCTCCCTCTCTCCTCCTCCTCTCTCCCTCTCTCTCCTCCTCTCTCCCTCCCTCGCTCTCTCTCTCTCCTCCCTCCTCCCTCTCTCTCCCTCTCTCTCTCCCTCTCTCTCTCCCCCTCTCTGGAACACTTTAAACTTAGTTCAGTCGTGTTATTTTGACTTTAACACCCTTCCTACAGCGCTGTGTATCACTCTGATGAGCTCAGTTCTATAAATAATGTAGCTGCGTAGCGTAAATTTAGGCGTCCGCGTGCTCGTTTTAGCCGTGCGTGAGCTATTTCTGGTTCCTTCCTTCACGTGCACAGCGCCTGAATTATTCAGAGCCGGAGTGAGAGG